TTCTCCATCATTCTCTAGAAACAAATATAATTGAAACTACGTCGGATAATAACCCCAAGAAAAGAACCCGTGATGCAATTAATCCCATGTGCCTGTGGTATTACTAAATTGGCCACATTGACATAGATCGTATCACAAGACTGGTAAATGATGGTCATTTGGATTTTCCAACTGTAGAAGATTTCCTAACCTGTGAACCTTGCCTTTAGGGTAAGATGATGAAATGACCATTTAACGGTAAGCCTGAAAGATCAACATGCATGACTGACCTTATACATACTGATGTATGTGGTCCCATGAATGTTAGGACATGTAACCAGCACATTTATTTCATAACATTTACCGATGATCACTATTGGTATGGTTACGTGTACGTAATGAGATACAAGTTTGAATCCTTTGAAAAGTTCAAAGAGTTCAGGCAAGAGGTCGAGAAACAGTTGGGGAGACACATCAAGGCCCTTTGATCAGATTGAGGAGGTGGATATCTCTCTGATGAATTCATGGACTAGTTAAAGGAAAATGGGATAGTATCACAACTAGCTCCTCATGTTACACCAAAGTTAAACAGTGTGTCAGAGAGGAGGAACCTGACTTTATTGGATATGGTCCGATCACTTCTCGTACACTCTGAATTACCCACATCCTTTTGGGGTTATGCATTGGAGACTACGATATACGTGCTAAACCGAGTTCCATCCAAATCCATTCCGAAGACTCCCCATGATCTTTGGACCAATAAGATTTGGAGTTGTCCAACACATGTTAAAAGAACAAGTGCTGACAAATTAGAATTTAAAACTAGTTGTTGCCAATTTATAGGTTACCCAAAAGGCTCTATAGGGTATTTATTCTATGACCCATGAGAGCAGAAGGTGTAGTCGAAGTGCCCATTTTTTGGAGGAAGATTACATCATGAACAATCATTGTTAGGAAGTTGTTCTTGATGAGGAGAGCTTAAGAGTAATGGGAGATGTCCTACAAGCTCCAATTAATAACCAACCTAGGAAATCTACCTGGGCATCCAGGCCTCTAGTTCGTTATGGCTATGACCAAGAGAGTTACTTGGTGGAAGCCACGACCAGGGAGGAGGATCCCGTGACTTATACGGAAGCTATGTTGGACATAAATTCCTTGAAGTGGGTAGATGCCATGAAAGTTGAGATTGACTCAATGGAGACCAATGGAGTCTGGACTCTGGTAGATCCGCCCCCTGAGGTAAAAGTAATTGATTGCAAATGGATCTATAAGAGGAAGAATGGCCTTGATGGTAAGGTTGAGACCTAAAAGGCTCGTCTTGTGGCGAAATGATACACTCAGAAAGAGAATCGATTATGAGGAAACATTTTCGCCCGTGGCCATGCTTAAATCCATTAGGATCCTACTAGCTGTAGCAACATATCATGACTACGAGATTTGACAAATGGATGTCAAAACCGCATTCTTGAATGGAGATCTTACTAAAGATATCTATATGCAGCAACCGTAAGGTTTCATAGTTGCAGGTTAGGAACACATGGTATGTAAACTTAATCGATCCATATATGGACTTAAGCAAGGTTCTAGGAGCTGGAACATCCGGTTTGACTCTACTATCAAACAGTTTGACTTTGAGCAAAATCCGGATGAGCCTTGTGTTTATAGGAAGATCAATGGGGATAAGGTTACATTCTTAGTTCTGTATATAGACGACATTCTACTCATTGGGAATGGTGTAGGAATGTTGACAATGGTGAAAGTATGGCTTTCGCAGCAATTTTTCATGAAAGATCTTGGAGAGGCCTCTTATATCTTGGGACTTTGACACTATAGAGATAGATCGAAGAGGAAAATATGATTATCCCAATCTACTTATATTGACAAAATAGTCAAGAGATACAGTATGGAGAACTCCAAGAAAGGAAATGTTCCTTTCAAGCATGGAGTCACTCTCTCCAAGGGTATGCCTCCCAAGATACCTGAGGAGATTGAGGGCATGAAGGAAGTTTCCTATGCCTCTGCTATAGGGAGCATCATGTATGCCATGTTGTGCACTCGGCCAAACATTGCTCAGGCCGTGAGTGTGGTAAGTAGATATCAATCTAACCCAGGACAATAGCATTGGACCGCTGTGAAAAGCATACTGAAATACCTTCGAAGGACAAAAGGAGTTTTGTCGGGTATTCGATGGTAGTTCACTACAGATCGTCGGGTATGCTGATACTAATTGCTAGTCAGATCTAAATGGTAGAATGTCTACATTTGGTTATATCTTTACGATAGGGTCATGTGTAGCAGGAAAAATAGTCCACAACCCAAGCCGAGCACATTGTCGTAAGTGAGGCTGCTTAATGAATAAAGGTGTTCATTCAAGAATTTGGAATTCAGCACACCACCCATTCCACTGTTTAATGACAACACTGGATCTACGGGAGATTGATATTAAAAGGTAGCATCAGCAGAGAATGTGGCAGACCCATTGACTAAACCACTGACACAGAAAGTGTTTGAGAAACACGTGGAAAGTCTGGGACTCCAGCTTATACCCGATTGGACCTAGGTGCAAGTGGGAGCTGTTAGACAGTGTATGCCCTTAGCTCCAATCAACATGAAGTACATTATGACATTTATTGTAAATGAATAATGTACACTGACACAGAAAGTGTTTGAGAAACATGTGGAAAGTCTGGGACTCCAGCTTATACCCGATTGGACCTAGGTGCAAGTGGGAGCTGTTAGACAGTGTATGTCCTTAGCTCCAATCAACATGAAGTACATTATGACATTTATTGTAAATGAATAAAGTACATATTTGATTCATGTTATATGGTGTATTTTTGTGTAATATCCTTAAATTGAACAAATATGAGACTAGTGTTAGTTTAGAATCTTCACAACCATTGGATAAATTTGGGGAGATTTATCCTGCCAAGGCTGACACTGATGTACCACCAAATTGGTTGGGGTGGCTTGTCTCAGCTGCCAGGGTGAGACTTGAGGTACATGCAATGTGGGTTTTCTTGAAACCCTGAACCAGACCAAAATTGCAGTATTGCCCTGGACCTTGGAGATAGATGGGCAAAACTGGAATGTTACACCTGACCCCTAAACTCGATTATGATACTGCACTAGGTGTCAGACTAGACTATCTTTGATATGCCAATTAGTGAGATCTTTAGAGGGGGTCATAGTGACAGGATTAACCCCTTTGTCGGACAAAGTGAATGATCGGGGATGCATTCTCTCTGATGGAAATCTAAACTGTCAGTAGTTGATTTCAATCGTTGAAATTTGTTTTTGCAAAATATATTTATATAGACATACACACACACACACACATATACATATATATATGTTATGGTTTCAAAATGTTTGCAAAAGGTTTTAATTCCTGGGGTCCATGTGAGTAGAGAGTGCAACACTGCACATTGCAGTCGAGGGAGAGGTCATTTCTTGTCGTGTAGTGTTTGATCATTATGGACTGAGAGGTTAATTATAAGACCATTGAGGATTATACATGATGGGCTAATCTTGCATCTACTCACAGTCCTTGGGCCTTCATAAGATGGTTGGACCCAATGATCATTTAGGACTCAGGGGTTCACTGTATTCAGTAGTGAATTCGGCCAGGCCTTGTAACAAAGGCTAGGCTGAACCCATGTGGCTGTTGTGTAGATCAATGATAGGGTCCCACGCTATACAAAGAGAGTTAAGCTAGCCAGCATTGAAAAGGAAGTGAGCCTGAAAGTTTAATGGGCCTAAAGCCCATTTCGAACTAGGTTAATTAGATTAAATAAATAGGGGCGTATCTAGGATTTGGATCAGTAGATTATTATCCTTATCCACTAAAAGAGTCTAAATCCAAATAAATATTTGGATTAAGGAGCTCCTAATTTGATTAGGAAGGCTGATTTGATAAAGATAAGAGATTATCCTTATCCATTAAAAGAGTCCAGATCCAAATAAAGATTTGGATCAATGAACTCCTAATTTGATTAGGAAGGCTGATCTTTATCTGTAGATAAGATAAGGGATTATCTTTATTACTTAAAGAGTTCAGATCCAAATAAAGATTTGGATTAGGAAATTCCTAATGGAATTAGCAAAATTTCTCTTTAAGGCTATAAATAAGAGAGTAGGGCGAACCTCCAAAGACACGTTTGCTGAGTACAGAGAGAAGACAACACAGTTAGACTACTCTTTCCTTCTGTTCTTTTTCTTCCTGCTCTTGCTGCCCCACCTTGTTCGATCTCCAGTTCTTGGATTGGATCAAGATTGGATCTTGATATTGTTTTTTTCCAGAAAAAACAATGTAGAAGTTGTGCTCACTGTCCTATTCGATTCTTACTAAAGAATCACTAGTTCTTGGTGACCTGCTGATCCTACCTCACCCTAAGTTGTGTCATATTCAGTGGAGGGAGGATTTGTTATTCTCTTTGAGCGTGAACACCTATATTGAGAGGAGCTTTTTTGCGTGGATTCCGTATCAGGTATATCTCTCCCTTAATTTGGTTTCAGATTTGGTCTGGTTTGGTTATAAGAACGAACATTGAAAATGCAGTTTTCTAAATTCCCGGATGGGAATAAATAAATTTTTGAAATTTTGCCCAACCTTTCTACCGGGTTTGACCATCCATATGATGGATCTCCCATCCCTTCAGCTTGCCCTTTGTGTTTCAGAGTTTCGAATGCTAAAACCTCTAATACCTTCCCAAATTGAGAGAAAACTGCGAACAGAGATTTCTTAAGCTCAAGAATTTAAGCAATTTGTAGAAAATTAAATTTAGATAATATAGTCCAAAATTGGCAAATAAGAAGTGAGAAAGAAGGTTCGGGAGTCTAAGACAACCTTGTTAGTTACAAATCTAATAGAATCTAAGGTGAAAGCTTCATCCTTCATAGACAAACAGAAGTTCGCCTTTATCAAATAAACTCCCTTTGTGCGTCGTGTGTCTGTTTGTGGAATACTGAAATGAACTCCCTTTTATGTGTCGTGTGGGAGTAATAGGGAAGGAACTGACCTTCGAGTTTGATTTTCTCATTGAGATTATTGATGTAGATGGTTGTATTGGGAGGAATCTCGCCTGTGCTCATATCTGCAACCAAACTACTACCGTGCCTCTCTGCTTCTTCATGCCAAAATATGAAAAGAGAGAGAGAGAGGGGGGAGGTCTTGATCTCGCATCGTCTGTCCCCTAATTGGAACACGTCGCCTTTACCGCCCAAATTTGAAACTGACAGAAAACCCTTTAACGGCAAGATGGACACCAAAATTTATGAAAAACAATTATGTAAAGCCAAAATCCTCTCCACCGCTGCGAGCTGCTCTCTTTCCCTCCCTCCTATTCTCTTCCCCTTCCCCCCCCTCCCCCCTCCCTTCTCCACTGCGAGCTGCTCTCTGTCATCTTGCGGTTGAAACTTATCAACTGAGCTAGGTCCGAGAGTAAAAGATGACCCTATAACCCGAGCTTCACCGCTGCTGCCATCTTGCCGCTGAACCTTGTAAACTGAGCCGAGTCTCGGAGTAAAAGACGACCCTGCAAACCGAGCTCCATCGCTGCTGCCATCTTGCCGTTGAAACTTGTCAACTGAGCCGGGTCTCAGAGTAAAAGACGACCCTGCAAACCAAGCTCCATTATCGTTGCCATCTTGCCGTTGAAACCTATAACTGAGCCGCATGCCGTAGTTAAAAGACGAAGTGGACATATTTCGGTTAATTATTGGAATATTTCAGTTAATCTGATTTGGGGGACTCCAAACTCTATTATTTCTAATATATTAAAGCTAGGGCTGTTCATGGGTTGGCTTGGATCGGTTTACTAGTATTTTTTCGACCAATCCGATTTGGTTGGGTTACCTATAAATCAAACCGAAATCGACCCTCTATTAAGTAAAACTGAGCAAGCCGGTTTGAGTCAGTTTGGTTTCAACCAACTCCAAGCTTGCACAATGCCGTGAAGTCAAAGTGCTAATATTATATATAATATTTCAAAATATATTTTCTGGAAATATATATTTAAAGCCAAAACATATATACAAATATATCAAAATATATATTTTTTAATTTCTAGAAATATATATTTCGGAAATATATATCTGATATATTTCAGAATATATATTTTTCAGATATATATTTATTATTTAAAACTAAAATAGCTATATTTAACAGATATTTTTTAGAATATAAATTTTTTCACATAACTTGGTTCGGTTTCGGTTTTCACATATAAAAACTGAAACGGAACCGAATTATCAGTTTATTTATCTTTTACAACCTAAAACCGATCAATAGTGAAGAAAAACCAACAACTCCGGTTGGGTCGGGCTGAGTTGATCGATTTGGATTTATTTGTGAACAGCCCTAATTAAAGCTGAAATTTGAACTGGTATATCTGTGATTTGAAATTCAACGGATTCAATTTTTAAGCTACCTAACTAAAGCTCCATTGTTAATGCCTACCATTGCCTTTGCCATCTTGCTGTTGAAACCCTGCAACTGAGCCGCATGCCATAGTTAAAGACAACCTTGCAACCGAGCTCCATCACCTCCGCCATCTTGCTGTTGAGCTACAATTGAGCCTGTTCCCATAGTGAAATATGACCCTGAAGCTAGTGGAGGTGTTATATGAATCGTTGGTGTGGTATGGTGCAGTTCAACAAGATAGTTTATTTTGGTTTGATGTGTATGGGGTGGACTTAATTTTGTCTTCATCCTGAGTGTCAAGAAGCTCTGGGTTCACTTCCCCAAGTGCCTGCTTCTTAGCAATAACACTGTAATTGTTTCAAGTAGCAAAGTCAATCAGCACCCCAAATGAATTGTGCCTAGACAAGAAGGCTCAAATGGTATAACCATAAACTGCAGCAGAGGACAGACAAAAAATGGTGCCAAAGTTTATTACCTAGGAAAATCCGTTTCCAGAATCAGAGATGGGGACATTGTAAGGGATGTTGTCATCTTAAAGGCGGATACAAGATTTAGATAAATCAATCAGAGTATTGCTGCCTTCAAACAATGAAGTAGAAACCTCTCACATGATGTAGAATAATGAAGGAACCTTGCCGTCGCCGTCTCCGATGGTTGAGGAGGAGAAGAGAAGAAAAGAAATGAAAACTTTCATTGCAGCGGCATCTCCGACGGCGGTAGAGATTCGTTGTGTGTCGATGAGGGTGAAGAGGCGGTGGGGAGGGACTAGGGAAGAGAAGAGAATAGAAAGGAAATGAAAAAAAAGAGGGTTAATTGAATTTGATAATTTTTTTGGAGTCCAGACTGTCGTTAAGTCTGGATTCCGTCGGTTTCGAACAAAAGTGGGAGAGGGAGGTGTGCTCGGTTCTTATTGGTTAGGACATAAAAAATTCTGTCCCCAGGGGACAGACGATCCGAGCTCCTCTCGGGGACCTGATGGAGTTCGGATCGTCTGTCCCCGAGGGATAGAAAATTTTTTGTCCAATAATATTCTACGACGTCATGTTCTCCCACTTATTTTGAAACTAACGGAATTAGGATGCCAACCAATATGATGATTGATTTTGGAAGAAAATGCTATAATGAAGACAAAATAAAGGTAGAGGTATTTGATCAAATTTGGCAAGATATTAAGACAATTTTTATTGATTCTAAGTCTATCGAGGACAAAATTATTTGGGGGTGCAACATTAAGAGGATTTTCTCTATAAAAACAACTTATTTGTTGAATTGCTCTTTTATTCTTAACCTAAACAATACCTTTAATTGGCTGGCTAATATTTGGAACATCAAATGCCCCCCAAAGATAAAGACTTTTCTCTTTTTCCTTCTCAACAATAGGATTCTTACTAAAAGTCATCTAAGAAAAGATGATATAACATTGATGACTCTTCTAGCTTTTGTGGGGATGAGAGGATATTGATCATATTTTTAAAAATTGTGCCCACACAAAGCAAATGTGGCTTATCTTATACACTCCCCTAGAGGAATCAAATGAGAATGAAAATTTAAGTGATTGGTGGACAATGGTCGAAATTAAAAAGGAAAACAATATTTTTTTAGTAAAGGAAAAACTAGTTTTTGTTCTTTGGGTTGTTTGGAAAAATAGAAACTCGAAAACTTTCAATAATGTTTCAACTCCCATTTCAATTATTTTGGAATGGGCTCTTGATATGTTTTTGGAGTTTCTTGATGAGAGCAAAGATAAAGGCATTGCTTGAATGGACAAAGTGTCGAAACTAATTATTTGGAGTGCTCCAAAATTTGGCACTATTAAAATAAACTTTGATGCCTCTTGTAACAATGATGGAAAATGTTTTGTGGTTAGTATTGTTCGTGACCATCTTGATCAAGTGCTAACAGTTAAAGCATATAAACTTGGCACCTATACCATCAACCAAGCGGAAGCATGGGTTGTATGGGAAACACACTTTCAAGCGACAAACTATTGGGAGCATCCTACTATAATCGAGGGTGATTCATTATTGGTCATCTCGTGCCTCAACAAAAAGGTGGAAGTTCTTTGGAATTTGAAAGGTATCATCTCTTGTTGCTTGAGGAGGAGAGTCCTGTTCGAGGGAAGTCTTTAGTACCAACATATTTTCAGAGAAGTTGACCAAGTGGTAAATTGACTTGCTCATGAAGCTCTTTCTTCTTCTACCCCTTCCCTAGATTTTTCTATCAACTCCCTCCCCCCTTCTCTTCTTCTTATTTCTTTTGCAGATTTTTGGGAACGTATTACCCCCGTTGTGTATAGTACACTTATTCTCTTTTCAAAAAAAAAAAAAAATTGTTTAATCCCTTCTCCCTTTTCATTCCATCGTTTGGTCATTCCCGCCCGAGTTCTCTTCTTCTCCCTCCCCTCTCCACCCACCGCCCCTTCATCGGAGACAAAGTTACATCTGAGCCACTACAAATCTCTCTCTGTTCTCTTCTCCTCCCTCCCCACTAACATGCTGTGTTGCGATGCAAATCACAGCCCATGTCTTTCCTGGATGATAACACCAGTTGTTGATCCCTACAGGGGAAGGTTATGATTTGCATCGCAAGGAAAAGAAACAGAATAGGGAATGTGAACTGTGGCAGGTATAGCAGCATCGACGAAGACGACTAAAAAGAGAAACATTTGGTTTGTGGGTTAGAAAGCTTAAAAGGGCTGGCAGACATTGAAATATCACCCATACCTCCACTCTATGATGCAAAAGATTATAAAAGCCAACAACTAAAAACTTCTGTAGCTCCTGCTTCAGAATTCCGGACCATGAACTCTACGAGCTTAAATGGTAAGCTCTTATAATAACAGAGCCTAAGTTATATTTAAGCACCATGAATGACATTCAGAGCTTTGGGCCCACCGTACAGGTGGATGTGGAATCCACCAGATATCTTATGCCAAAAATGAAAAAATCAACCCAAGCTGAAGCTGAGATCCCACAAACTTGATGTTGCTATATCTTCATATCACGTTTATGGAGGACTAACTACCATCTGTTATATTTCCAACTTTCCATTTGCTTATAAGATTGCTTACATATGTGTAGGAACATATGAGTTTGCTGAAATACCAGAAGATGCAATGCGAGAAGCCAAAAGTAAAGCCTTCTAGAAGATGAGACCAACACAGAAAAGCCAGATAGTCTCTCAGAAGAACTAATCAAGTGTTTGATAGAAATCTTCCTAAAACTGAATCAAACACCAGCATCTCAGCTCGACTGTGAAAGCTCAACCACCATTCCTAAGCTTACTCTATCTTGCATCAACTCAAGAGCCTTCAAGCCCAAGACTTCATTCAATTGTAAGGCACCCATGTCTTTCTTGGATGATAACACATCAGTTGTTGATCCCTACGGGAGAGGGTTGTGATTCGCATTGCGATGTAGTGTGTCGGTGGGGAGGGAGGAGAGAAGAGATAGAGAGAGAGATTTGTAGTGGCTCAGATGTAGCTTCATTTCCAATGAAGGGGCAGTGGGTGGAGAGGGGAGGGAGAAGAAGAGAACTCGGGCGGGAATTGACCAATGATGGAATGAAAAGGGAGGAGGGGTTAAACAAATTTGATAAAATCTGAAGCCCACACCGCCTGTTAGCATCCTAATTCTGTTAGGTTGCATTTGGAAGCGATGCAAATAAGTGTAAATGCAAATATGTAGAGTATAAAATGGTCCATATAAATTGTAAAGTTGGGTTAGTTTTGCACCGACAAATTTACCATCTTACCAAATAGACTTTTAGCTGTAATGGATGCAAAAACAAATTCCAATAAAGCATATGCCTTCTTTTTTTATCAAAAGCCCACTTGAATGCAAATTTACTTATTTTTTATTGATGTACTTCTCCATCTTATTGTCAATG